CTTTCATTATAAGTTTTAAAAATTTTTGCTAATTAGCCTTTATCCAAGAAAGAGATCTAAAAAAGAGACAAAAATTTAAGAATAACATGCATTAACAGTTAAATTATGTACCTGACACCTTCAACCCATCCGAGAAAAGGTTCTTTGTAAGTACTTGAAACTATGGTTGGTCATATAATGAGTAAAGGTAGATGATAATTTTTCAGGTCATGACTAATCACCATCTCACTCATTGCCTTTGTAAATACGTATGTGTTTGGCCATCCATACACCTTAGCCCTTGCCATAATTGAAACAAAAAACAAAATTTCAAAATTCTAAAACGATATATCTTATCACTAATATACAGTAACTTCATTAAGACACACTATTAACTTTATACCTGTCGAGGCCTAATCTTTCATAGCTCGAGTTATAGTTTCATCTGTAGCTTCATTCTCTTCAAATTGTTTTAATCTCTCTTCCACCATTTTTTGTTCCGTTTCAATGTCTAGCCCTTTGACGCCATTAAGAGACTCCCTCGATTTATATGGAGTTTCCAAGATAAGTCCTTCCCTCTCTCCCGAAACATAAGCTAACAAAATATATGTACTCCAATTATTTTAGCATAAGATAAATCTTCGTTTGTCTTCAATATTCGTAAAAATAATTGAGGGTTTTTTTAGCTAACCAGTGGATATATGGGCAACAAGTTTCAAATCAGGACATTGCTTTGCAAAGCTTGCAACATGTTTAGCTCCGAGGGTATTGGTTCCAAGTGCTACATCATATCTATTCAAAAGAAATAGAAAACTTTTGCATATATAACAAAATGAAATGGCACGAAATACTGTTTGCTTCTGCCCATGGTATATCCATCGACATGTCGTCCATGTACGACATGTATTCATGGGCTCGACATCGATTTGAGAGGTAATTCGACATTTCCATATATTATAAAAAAATGGACAAAATATAACAAATATCAACAAAATGTTATTAATATAGACATGATATTAATATTAATTATCATTTTTAACTTATTTAGAAAGAGTGAAACGACATCGACATTTTATCTATATTTCCATGAAATTGAGACCTCAACATTATTTCTATCGACATCGATATTTAAAACCTTACTTGTGCCAAAGAGTTCAGTTCAATATTGGAGGAGGCTCTTCAACGCCCTTTGTTTAGGGATAGGGGTCAGTTTTTGTGGCAGGCGGGTTACCTAAGTTGTTCAATGGGATTTGTGGACTGAACGCGATTTTGAGCAAAGATCTCGAGAGGACGTGTGTAATCTTGCTTGGTTTCATGTTTCTTTTTGGGCTTTAGTATCTAAAGACTTTTGTAATTACGACGTTTGATCTTAATTACTTTGTTAGAGCCGGTTCTTTTAATTTGGCTCCTTTTGTTTATTCTCTCTTGTATTCTTTCATTCTTCTCAATAAAAGCTTGATTTTTCATAAATAAAATTAAAAACAATTGTGTGCATGAGCTAGCTTGTTTGTACCTCTCATCAAACTTGTTGTTGCAGCCAAATTAACAATTATTTGTACTTGATTCTTCATCTGGCCAGCCAAATTTGAATCTTTCAATCCCATTTGCAAGAGTGAGACATCACCAGGTACCACACAAATCTTTTCTGAAATTAGAGTATTGAAGTTTTCTCCCCACTTCTCCTTTAATACTCCAAACAAATCCTTCTCTATCACCTAAATATGATCAACATCATACATTATTTCTTGACTCAGTTACTTAAATATAAAATTTAAATGGTTAGGCTTTTTTTCCCTTTTATTTGTAATGAAATATTCTAAAAAGGGTTAGTCAAGACCAAATAGAAATCAATAACCATGATAATTCAAATGTATTAAAACAACTTACCTCATCATCGAAACGTTTCATAGCTGTCAACTTATCTGCCGCCCTTAATAACAAATAGAGTTTCTTTACGTTTGGTTGAACCCTCAATATTTTCTCCACGAAAACTGTATTTTTCCAACATAATGATCGTACAAAAGATAATTTAATATATAAAAATTACAGACGTGAACTAAAAAAGGCACGCAAAGGTAATTCTTTTCAATTACATCTTCAAAATTTACACCAGACTTCTATTTAGTCCACGTGAATGGTAAACAAAATGTTGGTGTGACATGTTTATTAGATTAATTTTTGTGTGATAATAGAGATATCTTAGACAAAGTAGGGTGGCATGAATTATAAAAAATATTTGATGCATTGGTTTTTTTTTAATTTGGCTCAAAATTCAAATTTATTTGTTAGAAATGTGAAAAACATAACCAAAAGAAAGGATGAGAAGTCGAGCATAATTTTTAAAATAAAAAAACGAAAAATGAGATGAGCTATATATTTTTTTTTCTTTTAATTTTAAAACAGGGATAAAAAAAAGTTTGTACAGCATGTTCTTAATTAACCCAGTTCTATTCTTCCTACCAATTCTTAATTATTTTCAACAACAATTTTAATAAGGACAAAATAATTAAAGGGTTTTGTTTTTTTACAACAATTAAAGGGTTTTGTTTGACTCTACGACTTTTCTTTTTTTCCTTTTTATTAATTGTACTATGTGAATTGGCTAGAATTAAGATGTTTTCATGGAAAAATGTACACGACAATCTTTGCGGACCACTTTTTCTGTTATGAGTTTATATTTTGCTTACTAATTATGGTTTTTCTTCTATGAATTAGAGATAAAAAATTTAGAAAATGTTTGGCAGAAACTTATATATCATTTACAGGTGTTGGAAGGCATTCTTGCCCTTACACGTGGTGGTTGGGTCCTGAACCGTGCACGTGGCATACATCAATTATCTCCAAGTTTAATTTTATTACCTCGGTTTCATGAGTATGATCGAGCCGATGTCTTGTGTGTGGCTGAGCCAATCTAAGCTCCCTTAGGTTCGCTTCTCATCAATGAAGATGAAATACCTAGCTTCACCTCGGCTCAGTCCCAGATTCTGATGGACTTCACGACAACATGTCATGATTCACAGTAACCTTAAAGAGCCGTTGAGGTGCTGTCGGGACAATTGTCGAGGAAGTCGTCTATAAATAGACTCATTCACTCCCTTTCTCAGGTACACGAACAACTCAATTCTCTCTCTCGAGTTGATTTGGATAGTCACTGACTTTGACATCGGAGTGCTTACTCTGTTTTGCAGGTTTTCTGCGCAGTATCAAGAGCTCACTATCCAGCTCGTTCTTGCTGATCCGCCATTTCGCAGGGTGATCATTTTTCTGATCAAACAAATAGGCTAGTTTCCCAAAATTAAATTATGATTCCATATATAGTGCACCATCAAGACTAAGAGATGAATTTAAAGATTAGGTGATGTATTGACTTAGGTTGGAGTATTGATCTGGTGCCAAACCAATAAAATTAATCTCACAAATTATCTCTTAAACATCTGCTAATTAAAAAAAAAAATCTCTACTAAAATATTTTTAAAAATATATTAATAATAGTGGGTATTTTATATTTTTTAGAGTCATATTTATAATTACATTTTAGCTATCATTTGTGTAATATTAAACTCTTATTTTAAAAAAATAAACATTAATTATTTTTTTAATATTACCAATTCAAACTAAATGAGAAGACTAAAGCTTATTATTGTCTTTAAGTCGTAACCAATTAAATCATACTATAGTGAAAGAAAAAGATCTCCTTTTATTCGAGATTACTTTAAAGTGAAGATTTGAATCATCGATCTCTAATGCCTTAACTGCCGAGGCAGATTCACAATCACACAAATTTAATTAAATCGTGTCATTGAAAATACCTATTTTAATAGTATAGATAGAGTAGGAGTTATGGGGTTATTTTGTAGAAGATTCAAGAGCTCCACGACATCTTGTGAACTGTTTGAATCGTTATCACGGTACGCTCTCACTCCAACTTCATCTTTTATTTCTGTAAACTATTTGTACCGTTCTATTGTAATGAGTGGGAATACGAGATTCCAATAGGATGGTCATCCAGATTTTCCTATTTATTGGATAGGAAGGTTGGATATTCCTGTACGGATGCCAGGCATACCGTCAGAAAAGCTTCCTTGACCAATTGGGTAGATCAAGAAAACAGCAGTAGCAGCTGCAACAGGAGCTGAATATGCAACAGCAATCCAAGGACGCATACCCAGACGGAAACTAAGTTCCCACTCTCGACCCATGTAACATGCTACACCAAGTAAGAAGTGTAGAACAATTAGCTCATAAGGACCACCATTGTATAACCATTCATCAACGGAAGCAGCTTCCCATATCGGGTAAAAGTGCAACCCAATAGCTGCAGAAGTAGGGATTGCCTCCTGTGACATGGATTTTAAGATTGGCATCTTGTTTTGACAATTTTGTCATCTTCATTTTTGTTCTACAACATTTTTTTCATCAATAACATTTATTTGTCATTTGTTTTATTTTATTTTAAAAATAAATGTATGTATTAATTCATTATAAATGCCGGAATATAATCTTATTTGTAGGCTACATTTCATAAAATATATCTTAGTTTATTTTACGCTTCCAATAACTATCAAACATAACATAAAAATATAATATTAAATTAATAAGAGTAAAATTTTTATATGAATTCAAATAATAGTAAATTTAACCTATAAATTATATGATGACAGTAAGGATATTTTTGGATACATAAATTACAATATTTCTACAAATAAATTTGTAGCTATCTAGATATTCTCGAATACCCTTATAAATTTTCCTACAAAACAAATGTAGCTATATGAGATTCGAGACATCTAAAAGTATCGAACATCTACATTTTCAAAACACAAACGGCCCCTTAGACATTTGATGGAGGAGTCGTTTAGATTTATTCACTCTATCAAATTTTAAGAATCGAGGCTTAAATTAATTAATTTGGTGGACTCCTAAAGTGAAGCATCAACTATTATACACCTCCTCTCAAAAAAACCTTCTATTCTTTTCAACCAAATGTATACGGAAAAAAAATAGCCAAAAAAATGGGAAAAAGAAGAACAAAAGTGGAGAAGTTTGATCCTCTTTCATGTTCAGTACAGTAAGAAATTTTACACACAAACTTCATAGTCAACACGCTATATTTTGTCAAAGTATAATGTAGTTGCCAATAATGCTTAATTTAAAAGAAGAAAACAAAAACACAGCTTAAATTCATTCACTGAGGAAGCACAATTTGTTTTTGAAATTTGTTTTGGACATGTTTAACAAGTCCAGGAATGTGGATATTGACGAAGTAATCCTCCCAATTTATATCCCTAGGGTCCAGAAACAATGTATTTGCATCTCTGTCAATGTCTTGAGTGGCAATTCTCAATTTTTCTAAGTTGGTGTCGTCAAATCTGCATAGGCAAATACAAAATAATGTGTAGGAGGTATTATATTAGGCCAGACTTAAATATTTTTGTACAAATATTTGGTCGTAAGTTTGCATGTCTTAATACTACAAATTTACCCGTCATCTTATAAGCTAAAATTTCAATCAGTTGAATTTTGGGACAACTAGAAATCAGAGCTTTACTCCCTTAAACCTATCGAACTCGCACCAATTCCAAGGTTTGGACCCAGGAGATCATCAAAGATTTTGGTATTAAGTTTACAAAAAAAATCGAACTTGAGACCTCTAAATTACTATGACCAAGAGATCTCGAGCCTTTGCCAATTGAATTGTCATTTGAAGGGCTTCAAATAGCTTAATTCTCTTATAGACCGCAAACCTAAAAGCCAAAAACAACCTACCCAAGAACTTAATCTTTAGAACTTATTCATGCACACGTCCTAAATTAGAAGCTATTAAAATCCGAATATGATTACTTAAGTCATACGAATTCAGCCTGAGGCAAAAATTTTCAGTCAAATACAAAATAAAAGAAAAGGAGTAAATAAAATACTTTACATACCTAGCATCGAAGAATAAATATGGGCGATAAAGTTCAGTGAGTCGCACCATCCAATCAAATTTCCTCTTAAGATCAGCGTACAGGTCTTCTAAAGAGTGACATGATGCCTTATTTGCAAATTCCAATACCTTACAATGATTAAAATAGTTTAAAATTAGTTTGTTTACCAAAAGAGTAGTTTAAATATTGTTTAGTTTTTTCTTATTTTTGTCCTTGCATTTTATGAAAATTTTATCTTGATTTATTTTTTTATTTTTTGTGGTCCTTTAACCATAAAATCTCGTTTATAATCTTTGAAATTTTGCTAACTTCACAGTACACTATAAAAATGATAATATGAATAAGAAAGATATACCTACATACATATATATACACAAAGAATATAAAAAAAAACATAAGGATATCTATTATATAACAAATATAATTAATATCCCTATATTTTTCTCATATTTTTATAAGCATCTGTTATAATATTTGCAACAATGTACCTTGAGAAAAATCAAATAGCGAATGCTCATGTGTCTGCGGAAGCTAGCCATGTTGTTGAAGACAATAATTTTCTTAACCTTAATGGCATTTCCATCTTCATCGATCCATGGTTTCTCAATGAAGTATTGGAAAAGAAAATTTTTCAAATCAATATATCTCATAGAATTTCTTAGAGAAGAACCCACATGATATATTCTTTGACTAGATGGTTGGAGTTTGTGTGCTACTATTGCCATGACAATTGTATTTACTACCATGTCTGCTGGGATCTGCATTTTTATAAAGCGTCAAACATTTTTCAATATTGTACTTGAAAGAAAGATCATATATTCTCTCACCACATCAAGGATTGAATTATTATCACATGGAATGCTGGTTAGTTTGCCTTTAGCATATCCAACAATTAAGCTATCAATAGTCCTATAAAATACAGCCAATCTTAGCTAACATGCTTAGGGAGAAAAGAAAAAGACAAAATTGGCTCAATTTGAGCTAATAAATTAGCTGCTAAGATTTTTCTTTTTTATTTATTTATTTATTTATGTACCTTACACCTTCAATCCAACCAGGAAAAGGTTCTTTACACGTGCTTGTAATTACAGTTGGTCGTATAATGACCAAAGGTAGATGGTCTTTTTGGTCACTAACCACCATTTCGCCCATTGCCTTTGTAAATACATACGTGTTTGGCCATCCATGCATCATTGCCCTTATTGCAGTTACAAACGAAACAAGAAATGAGAAAGTAAAATTATGGTAGTTTCATCACCAATATTAAACTGACACATTCATTCTAGACTTTTTCTATGTAATTCACCATACCTTTTGAGGCCCAATTGTTTCATGGCTAAGGTTGTTCTTTCTTCTGTTCCTCCATTATTTCTTAATTCATTTAGTGTCTCTTCAACCACAATTCGTTCAGTCTCAATATTTAGACTTGTAGTTTGGTATAGTGATTTCCCCATTTCATATGGAGTTTCGAGTATAAGTCCTTTTTTTTCACCTGAAACATAAGCTAACAATACACACGTCTTTCAATTAAATGGTAATTGTTAAATTAAGTTGTAAATTTCATTTGGGTTTTTATATACTAACCGGTGGATACATGGACAAGTACTTGCAAATTAGAACATTGCTTTGCAAAGCCTAATACATGTTTAGCTCCCAATGTGTTAGTGCCAAATGCTACATCATATCTGCACAGAAAATAAACAAATTAATTGTTAATTAAGTGAGTGTTTATTTAACTCCTTATTTTATTGTTGTAGAGAATGCATGAGTTTGTATACCTTTCATAAAACTTGGTTGTTGCAGCTAAGTTAACGATTATTTCCACTTGATTCTTCATCTCTTCCAATAAATTTGAGTCTTTTAATCCCATATTTGGGAGTGAGATATCTCCCGCCACTAAACGAACCTTCTCTGAGATTAGGGTATTTAAATCCCCCCTCCATTTGTCCTTTAACCGTGTAAATAGATCTTTTCCTACGACCTATACATAAAATTGATACCGTGATTTTTTAGATAATATATTTTTGTAGTACAATATGTGGGAATGGATGGAGATTCGAATTCATGATCTTTTAGATAATTACAGAAAAATGGTTATTTTACGCATCATTATTTATGTCTTTGTTGAATATTGTCACGCAATAAATAAACTATTTAGGACGATTATCTCATCTTTTTCTTTTACTTTCTCGTTTTTTAGCAATTACATGGGTGGGAGATTATTCTAATCCTTAATAAGTTCTTTACGCTAATTAATTGGTTTTGCAATTGAGACATGTTTATTCGACAATCATGCATTGTACCTCATAATAGAAGCGTTGTGCGGCTGTAATTTCATCGGTTGTTCGTACAAGTATATAAAGTTTCTTCACATTGGGTTGAACCCTTAATATTTTCTCTACCATGACTGCGGACGAAAAGTATATATATGATATAAATAATATTAGTTAGTTATATAAACATGAATAATTAGCATTACAACATGTAAGAAAAAGAATGCTAAAATACATAAATATACATACTCTTCCCCAGAAATCCTAGGGCACCAATGATAAAAACGCTCTTGTTCTCCAAAAACTCCATTGATAGTCAAAATTAGAGAATTTCCAAGAACTTAAGATTGGAAAATTCCATATAATTGAGAACTTCAACTTAAAGTGGCATTATATATCGGTTTAAGAAAATGAAGGGAAAGGGAAGAATGCACGAAATTGAATTATAATTTATTGCCTAACGTACGTTTCAAATTAGACTTCCAAACTCCAATTGTCTAACCCACCCTCTAATAATTAAATATCCATAGTTCGTTGACTTTGAGCCAATTATTTCCATTTTTAATAATTATGGTAATCTTAGTTAATATTGCTTAACTAATTAAAGTATTAATTACTTTATAAAGAATGTAAAATTGAATCGTCAATCTAGGTTAAAATTGTAATATTAAAAAGACAAGTATATGTGGAGATGTAGAACCAAATCATTTTGTAAGAAGACTTGTCTTTTTTTCTTCCTATTTTGTGGGTATATACATTTTGCTGAATAAGGCTTTTGTAGAAACTATTATTCAAAGGCTTTCTAAAATTTATGGAGAAATTGGGATTTATAATCCCCATGATTGATTTCAGATTTATAACTCTTTTTAGAAAGACTGGTCTGTGATTTCATCCTCCCCTTATTTTTGAGCCATTCAATTTTTAACATCGTGGAAAGATGAATTTGTCCCCGTGGATAATAAATAATAAGCATTTATGATATAATAAATTTTCGCCTAACTATTCATCAAAGTCTAAATTTTAAACCTTCGATTACCCATATTTTACAAATGTTTTGCAACTCCAAAACACAGTTTTCGTTTTTTAATTCCTTCTCAAACAAATATTGTTCTTCCACATGTTTGACCATTATCCTCACATTTTCAGTTGTGAAAAATTACGTATGTGTTACAAACTTTTTTACTTTAAAATTGCTGAATTTATTTGAAACATTTCCCATTTTTATATATTAAAAAAATGTGCATTCGTTGTCCTAGACCCCAAGACATGTCCCGAACCAATATTGGCCCGGGACATGAACCAAGATCGGTCCTAGATGCATAATACGATCCATATGTTGTTGTTCAACATCCGTCGACTCTAAATGTACTTTAACCTTGAACTACATAAAACCTTGCATTAGATCCACATGAAAAATAAATATTAAGCATTTAGTAGTATGCATTACTTACCCATGTGTTCTCAATACAGCACTCACCAACAAACGAAACCCGCAAGAATAGATGCACGATCATCTAAGAAGTCGAGGAATGGCATCGTCGTTCATCCTTGTTGCTACCTGTGTACTCAACGTTGAGATATTTTTGTACGGGATTCCCATCAAATCAATATAATAATGTAGTTAAAGAATCAATACATAACTATATAATATAGTTTACTTAAACCTCACTAACCTAAAACGCGTACGGAAACCAATACAGACTATAAATCTCAACATGTGAGGGGTCTTTTGCCACCTTCTACTAGTGGATGAGTGGCTGCGAAAGTACAAGAAATCGTCTGGGTTAATTGGCATTGAGAGATCCGAGATGGAGTTTACGGTTTTAGGATGGGAATGGAGGGGAAGGAAAGATCCGAGGATAGGGAGGGACTTGTGGTTTTTGAAATATGAGGGTATTACGATAATTTCACATTTATAAATTTTGAGAGCAGTCAAAACTAGGGGGAGGGGGACACAAATAAAGATTTTCTACGAGGGAGTCATAAGTTCGAAATTGGGAGGGTTATAAATCTCAATTTCCCAAAAATTTCAGGTTATGCTACAACCTTAAAGTATGAAAATATTATAATGAAAATATTATAATGGTAAAAATAGAAAGTAATATACCTCAATCTTCAAAAATATTATAATTAATTAAATTACATTCATATTTTCTAAGACCTTTAATGAAAAGTAATATATTTTTTAAAGATAATTAAAAAATATATATGTATTTATATATATACATAGTATGAAGTTTAAAATTTTTAAAAGGTATAAATAGCATTGAGACTCAAAAAGAAATTCACTTTCTTACTTAATTAAAGTCCACAGATTTGTGGCTTTAAAAAAACAAAGTAATATTACTTTTACAAATACATGTTTTTTTTTTCTACTCTCTAGGGGAGGATAGGTTTTTTTTACCCAAAGAGAGATAATAATCTTCTTTTGTAAATCAAGGTTAAATTATCGCTCCACATTTTATCAGCTGCTATATATGTTTATGTGTAAAATATATTTTCATGACCGGTTTCATAACCATTTCTGTTTTTTGTTTTTTTTATGTTTTCTATTTTTTGTTTTTAGCTTTCTACTTTTAAAAATAAAAATCATATGTGGTTGATAACTATTTTTGTTTTTTGTTTTTGAAAGACTGAAAACCAAACACATATTTGATAACCATTTCATTTAAGAAGATAACTGACCAATGATGATAATGTAGTTTATTGGCACATACTTCGTAGCCAATAATTATATCGTCAAATTACATATATTATAGTTCTTTAGGAAGAAAAAAAATAAAATACATTATTCAATGAGGAAATACAATTTGTTCTTCAAAATGAGTATCATAAATCATTTGAGAACATGTTTGATAAGTCCAGGAATGTGAATATTTACAAAGTAATCCTCCCAGCTAATATCCTTAGGGTCCATAAACAATGTATTTATTGCATTTCTGTCACATTCTTGTGTAGCAATCCTCAATTTTTCGAAGTTGGTGTCATCAAATCTGCATAATGCAAATGAAAAGAATATTAGCCAAAATTAATTAGGAGTTAAATATTTTGTATACTTAAAGTTAGGAGCATAACTTATATTTGGTGAGTTTACATAAATTAATACTTATTGATTCCCTCATAGCATGCTAATTTTTACAAAACAACTAAGCATAGGATTAAAAATTTATTGATTTACGTGGTCTATACAAATTCGACTATTTCAATTTAAGCTACATAAACTTGTATTTTTAAAATTTGTGAACTAATGTTCCATTTTGTGAGAATGGTTAGTTTAAATATAAAACTTTACATACTTGGATTTGAAGAATAGATATGGACGATAAAGCTCAATTTGTCGCATCACCCAATTGAATTTCCTCTGGAGATCAATGTATGTGTCTTGAAAAGAGTAGCATAATGCCTTGTTCACAAATTCCAGTCCCTTTAATTATAATAACAATGATTAAAAAAGAAGTTTTAGATATGGTTTTGTTTACTAAAATGTTATCTAATTGTTTTTCCGTTAAACATTTAGATGGTGTTTGGGGGAAGGAGTGAAGTTTAATTAGTCTGAACTTATTTAGTCTGTGTTTGAGATGCAGTATTATTTAGTGTAGAGTTCTAAAGAAGAGTTAACATAATGAGTTAATTAGTCAGAGTTGTTTATCCATGTAAAAGTAAGAGGAGGACGAAAGTGAAAATTGAGTACAGATTTTAAAGAACAAATTAATTGAACTTTATGAGAACTTTGAAAACCAAAATAGAAAAAAAAAAAAGGACATAACTTAAAAAGAAAAAAAAAGCTTTTAAACCAAAAAAAAAATATCACACTATTTATCATTTAAGATTAATTTAAAATCACTGTAAAATAGAGAAAATGAAGAGAGCACAACAAATTTTTTTTATATTTTGCAAGTCAGAAAATTGGAGAGCTACATACAATAGAAAATCTATATTTCATTTTTCGACTTTAATTAAGCCATGAAATTAAAGTTATTCCAATATATATATCTCTTTAATTAATAGCTACGTAATGAATAATTCTCTGGTTATCACATTTTTTGTACTATAGAATAGATTTTGAAACATTATGAATTAATTTTCTGGATTATTGTTAGATATTTGTATAATCATATTGCATACCTTGAGGAAAATCAAATAGCGAAGGGTCATATATCTATGGAAACTTTCCATGTCGTTGAATAAGGTGATTTTCTTACTCTGGATGATACTTCCATCTTTATTGATCCATGGTTTCTTAGTGAAGTATCGGAGAAGATAATTGTGAAAATCCATATGTCTTATAGAATTTCTCGTCGAGGAACCCACGTGATATATTAATGTTTGATTAGATGGTTGGAACATATGTGTCACTATTGCCATGATAATTGCATTTATTACCATATCGGCTGGAATCTGCATTTTTTTTAAAAAGGAAAAACATCCATCAAACCTTTTTCAATCGCAAAATATTATATATTAAGATTTGTAAATTAAACTTGAGATAGAAATAAAAGATTTGAAAGAAATTTCTCACCAAATCAAGAATTGATTTATCATCGCAAGGAAAGCATGTTACTTTTCCTTTAGCATACCCCGCGATGAAGCTATCGATCGTCCTGTAAAAATACGACAATTCTCTCAACATCGAAACAAAGGCTAGAAAAAAAATAATAATAAACATTATGGTAAAAAACTAAACATGCTTAACTTAACTCAAGGGTTCGGAAAAAGAGAAGGTCAAAATTTTGGGTCAATGTGGCAAAATATTATTAGTTATAAATGTTTATTTATAGTTGCATGACTACCGTAATTTAAAATTAGATGTTTTTTTTACGTACCTCAAACCTTCAATCCAACCCGGAAAAGGTTCTTTGTAAGTGCTTGTAACTATGGTTGGTCGTATGATGATCAAAGGTATACCGTCCTTTTCATCACTAACCATCATCTCACCCATTGCCTTTGTAAACGTATATGTGTTTGGGCATCCATATATCATTGCCCTTATTAGAATTAAAAATAAAATAAGAAACTATAGACTAATATATAATTATAGTGATTTATATCACTAAAATAAAAATTAAAAAAAATTGTTACATTCATCAAGGCTATTCTATCAAACCTTTCATACCTTTTTAGACCCAAATCCTTCATGGCCAAGGTAATAGTTTCTTCTGTGCTTTTTTTATTTCTGAATTCATTTAGTGTCTCTTCGATTACTTTTTGTTCAATTTCAATGTCCAATTTTATAGCTTTATTAGAAGACTCATCTAATTTGCATGGAGTTTCGAGAATAAGTCCCCCTTTTCTTTCACCTGAAACATAAGCTAACAAAAATACAGTATTTCAATTCATTTGTAATTTTATTCTATATTCATTAAAACCTAATTAAAATTTAAACGATGATAATAAAAATAAAAATAAAAAACTATTGACATTGGATACTAACCAGTGGATATATGGATAAGAACTTTCAAATTGGAACATTTCTTTGCAAAGCTTAATACATGCTTAGCCCCCAATGTATTAGTGCCAAATGCTACATCATATCTGCAAAAATAAAAAAATAATAATAATAAATTGTAATGTCAAAAGCCAAGTGAGGGTTTATTTAACTCCTTATTTTATTGTTATAGAAAATGCATGAATTTATATACCTTTCGTCAAAATTAGTTGTTGCAGCTAAATTAATAATTATTTCCACTTGATTTTTCATCTCTTTCAGTAAATTTGAGTCTTTCAATCCCATATTTGGGCATGCGACATCTCCATGTACTAAAGAAATTCTCTCTGAAATGAAGGTATCGAGATTGCCACTCCATTTTTCCTTTAATAGTCTAAAGAGATCCTTCTCTACAACCTATAAATAAAATTGATGTAGTTAAACAAATTTTAGATGGTTATATAAACAAAAAAATTGTTTCAACAAGGATTAGTTAGGGTTTTTACCATTGTTTCTACGTGATAATTATGTACCTCGTCGTAGAAACGTTTTGTGGCTGTAATTTCATCCACACTTCGTAAAAGTAGATAAAGTTTCTTCACATTTGGTTGAACTCGTAATATTTTCTCTACCATAACTGCAATCTCGATTAGTTATGCATTTAGCATATAAGAATACATAATAAATAGAAAACTAAAATTTACAAAGGTTATATATATACACATACTCTTCCCTAGAAAGCCAAGGGCACCAATGACAAAAATGGTCTTGTTCTCCAAAAACTCCATTGAAACGTGGAAAGATATAGCAAAGTTAAGAAATTTAAAATGATGAAGAAATCAATATAAGTGAGAACTTGAAGTTTCTTTATTATAAAGGTTTAAGAAAAGGAAGGAAAAAGAGGAGGAATTCACATAATTCAATGCCCATCCTCCATTAATTGTTCAACCTAATCTCTATTAAATTAATATCAATAATTTCTTGACATTGAGCCCATTCTTTTATTTTTAACTAATGAATAATTATCCTCCTTTAATAACCCTTTCGTTTTAAATTTTATTTTCAAAAATTAAATTTAGAAACACTATTTTCATCTATTTATTTCTTTGTTTTGTTATGTACTCGTAGAAACGTTAGTTAAATTTTGAAAACTAAAAAAAAAACTAACTTTTAAAAACTGGTTTTTTTTTCCTTTTACAAAATTTGATTCAAAATTCAAATTTGTTTGTTAGGGATGTGACAAACATACCAAAGAAATTGTGGGAAATAAAGCAAAATTTTTAAGGATAGAAAACAAAATATATATATATATATATAAAGAAAAAAGTTTTTTGTTATCATGTTCTTAATTAAACCCAATTATATTCTTCCTACCATCCCTAATTATTTTTAGCAATAAGTTTAATAAGGACAAAATAATTTAAGGGTTTTGTTTGACTGTAGGATTATTTTTTTTTCTTTTTATTAATTATACAATATGAATTAGAATTAAGATGTTTTCATGGAAAAATGTACAGAACAATCATTGTGGATCACTTTTTAATTTTATGAGTTTAAATTTTGCTTACGAAGATATTAAGGTGTTCCTTCAATGGATTAGAGATAACATTTACAGGTTTCTCAAAAGAATGTTATTATTCCATGTCCACCTCTAAGAAATTGCAAGTGACCAAAAAAAGACAAAGAGAGAGAGCGAATTTTTTAAGGGCCTTGTATAGTATAAAAATATTATAATGATAAAATAAAAAGAATATCTTTTGTCGTCGTAAAATATATATATATATATATTTCTATATAAGCTTAACTCAGTGATAATTCACCATCATCATTGGATCGGTCCGGCCCAACCCAGTCCAAAGAAACATAAGCTCAAGCTCGGCATAAGCTTCAGCCCTACAGGCCTCGAGCGTTATTTAGGTCGGATTTGGACTAAACCGACCACTAAAACCTAAGTCCGTAACTTAATCCATGGACCTAAATGGATGGACAAAAGTTAGATCGGACTTGGTACGGACTTACTTTTAATCATTAAATTTTGTACTATTTTTTATTTAGAATTTGTATTTTTATTTCATGTTTTTGTACTATTTTTTAGTTTTTCAAAAAATATTATCAATAAATTTTGTTATATCATATAACTACAGCTTAATTTATTTTGATTTTTAAAAAAATTAAATGGTATTACCATATTAATATAAAAATATTTAGAGGAATGAGAATAACAAAAAAAGAATGATCGTAAATACTAATTAATTATATATTAATAATTAAAGTATGATATATATATATATATATATATTGGATTATATTAGATCGAGTTTTTTGACTAGTTAACGGACTTATCCAAATATGGCTCAAATGGGTCGGTCCATGGGTAGCTCAATTTAAAAAACAAAAATTCATATTCAATCTAATTTATTCATAAGCTGGTCGATTGGGCCAAGTCGATCAAACGCGTGGACCGTGGGCCGTATTAAGATCCGGCCCGAACTGGACTTAGACCAGCCTTTGAGATTTGAACTCGATAATGATAATTGGCACTTGTTTCTAACGAAGAAATCATGACCCACTTGTTGTACTTAAAAAAACCAAACAAATATTATTTAAACATCTTTTTATAGCCCATAAAAATTCTTATGAACCTTTTTAATGTCCATTAATTATGGTCAATGTTTCATCCAAAGATTTTTAATGCTTTTGGATATATTGAATAACTTTTTAATATTTTGATTTATTTTAAGTGATTTTAAATGGTTGTTAATGAAAGTTAGTCTAACCAAATGTTAAGTTGTTTAACTTATTTGGCTTTAGTTCCTCTGAATTCGGCTTCACATAAAATTGGGGAAAAAATGATGCAGCCTTAAAAAAAAAAGTCACCTTTTAACCTTTTGAATGTTCAAAATTTCTATTGAGACTTTTTTTTTAGGGTGCTGAATTGAACCTCCGATCGAAGAAAAAAGGGAAAAAAAGTTATAAGTATTTACCTAAGTGATGATCGTGCCGTGTTGGTATTTACTATCATAATTTTTGTTTTTTAGTTTTCTTTGAATATTAATTAAATATATTATAGTATAATAGTAACCTTATTTTTTTCTCTCAAAATTTATCAAGTGATCGATAAATATGTTTACGTTCTCGTCCTCATCTAACTCCTGAATTGTTAATTATAGACGGGCTCAATCATCATCGAACTCATCCCAAGATTATTAAAAATCATGGAAATAACAAAAACAAAAACAATACCACAAAATTTTTATTTCTTTTTAGAGTAAGAAATTTGAACCTACACATGAGAATCAATAACTTTGGTTATGTAATTTTATTGCCTTTGATGTCGATAGATTTTTCCTTTGCTAAAAATACAATGCAATAATTAATTACCCCCACAGGACTTTATAGCAAACATAACTTTTATCTTAATTTAAATTTTTTCTAAAAAACATTCAATTAGGAAACAATCAAACAAGTAATTAATTTTATTTCAGATAAATTAGAATCATCTGATGACGTGTTTAACAAGCCCAGGCAAGTGGACATTCATGAAGTAATCCTCCCAGTTTATAGCCTTTGGATCCATAAAAAATAACGCCTCGGTTTTTGTATCTTTATTTTGTATATCCTTTCTCAATCTTTCAGCATTTGTATCATCAAAACTGTACATCCAAAATCAAAATAATACATATCAATAAATGAGTAGGTAAGATAAATAAATAAATAAAATTTATATATATAATATATAATGAAATGTTAAGAAACTTGTAGAATGGAAAATAGAATTTAAACAAAAAAAACTTCACTTACACAGCATTGAAGAATAAATATGGACGATAAAGTTCGATGAGTCGCATCACCAAATTGAACTTCCTCTTCATCTCAACATACTTGTCTTGAAAAGAGTGGCAAAATGCCTTGTTTGCAAATTCCAATCCCTTCATAATTCAATTATTAAAAAGATAAATGATGTCATTAATTATTATATATAAAGATAAAAAAACTAGAGTTGATTTAGGAGGTATCGCCATATAAATTTTTTTTTCTTTTCTTTCTAGTTTAACAAAGGTTAGAATTGAGATTTAATCATTAAGTTAGGTTAGGTTCAAATTGACATAGTTGGGTTGAAATTGAAAACTTTCTAAGTTTAAGATATAGAATAGAAATTTCAGGGTGGTTGATGATAACAATGTACCTTGAGAAAAGTTAAGTAGCGAATGGCAATATATCTACGGAAGCTGGTCATGCTCTCAAATACGGTAACTTTTCCAACCTTAACCACATTTCCATCCCTATTGATCCATGGGTTTTTGGTGAAATATTGAAAGTTAAAGCGTTGAAAATCAATATTTCTCATGGAATTTCTTGCCGATGAACCCACATGATATATGGTTTGATTAGATGGATGGAGTTCGTGAGCTACCATTGACATTAAAATTGTATTTACCACCATATCTGCCGGGATCTGCATTTTTCTAAACGTCAAAACTTTTTATTCACTCCCAAAAAATATACAGAGAAAGATTCTAACACTAAAAAGAGATGAATATTAGAAAACAAATCACGTTGATCTCACCAAATCAATGATTGAATTAGTACCAGCCAGAAAACAAGTTAGTTTTCCTTTAGCATATCCTAGAGTAATGCTATCGATGGTCCTGTAAAAATGCTACAAATCCTCAGTATTGATTTAAGTTTCAAAAGAATAAGACTAGATTAAAAAATCATTAAAATAGGAGACAAATATTTAAAAGGTTGTTTTGGTGGTTCACCTAATTAACCACTCCAATTTGAAAGATATACTCAGAATAAAATACGTACCGGACTCCTTCAATCCAACCCGGAAAAGGTTCTTTGTAAGTACTTGTAACTATGGTTGGTCGTATGATAATCAAAGAAAGATCGTCTTTTTGATCACTAACCAACATCTCACCCATTGCTTTTGTAAATACATATGTGTTTGGCCATCCATACATCTTAGCCCTTATCATAGTCAAGATTAAAACAAAAATTCAAATATTTTAGTGTATATTTATCATTAATTAATAAAATAAATAAATTCATTATGCTTTACTAATTATATACCTCTCGAGGCCCAAATCTTTCATCGCTAGAGTTATATATTCATTCGTAGCACCATTCTCTTTAAGTTGTTTTAATCGCTCTTCCACTACTTTTTGTTCTGTTTCAATGTCCAGCCCTTTGATGCCATTCAACGACTCTCCCAATTTATACGGAGTTTCTAGAATAAGTCCTTCCCTTTCTCCTGAAACATAAGCTAACAAAAACGCACATCCGATCACAATTAGTATAAAAGTAAATATTTCGCCTTGAAGATCCAAAACGGAGGATTTTTCAAGCTGGAATAATCAAATAAACTATGATATAGATGTACTAACCAGTGGATACATGAACAAGAAGCTTCAAATTACAACACTGCTTTGCAAAGCTTACAGCATTTCTAGCTCCGACAGTGTTGGTCCCAAGTGCTACATCGTATCTATCAAAGAAAAACAGACAACTTTTTGTAATAAAATACTCCGTCTTCAACTTTTAGTAATATCTACGACTTTTTCATTGACATAGATATTTTAAATTTTTAGCATGTACCGTACCTTTCATCGAAATTGGTCGTTGCAGCTAAATTAACGATTATTTCTACTTTACGCTTCATCTCTTCAACCCGAATTGAATCTTTCATTCCCAAACATGGGAGTGAGATCTCCCCAGGCACCACACAAACTTTTTCTGAAATCAATGCACTTAAGTTTGCACCCCATTTTTTTCTCAGCACTTGAAACAAATCCTTCTCAATTACCTGTATTAAAAGACCAAACAATAATACATAGTTTGTGTTAACAAATGATAATAATATAAAGTCATGGTTTTAGATCATCATAAGCAACTAATTAAATAACTAATTACCTCATTATGGAAACGTTTCACGGCTGAAATCTCATCACTAGACCTCAGTAGTAGATAGAGTTTCTTCACGTTGGGTTGAGTCCTCAATATTTTCTCCACCAAAACTGCAAAAATATCCCACATTATTATTTTTTGAACAATTTTCATCTTCTATAGATTACAAGTTTTTCTTTAGGAGAAAAAAAAAAGCTACAATATCACATAGAATAATCATAATTACATGTAATAATACATACTCTTTGCTAGAAAACCAGTAGCCCCAGTGATCAAAATGCTCTTGTTCTCCAGAAACTCAATTCCTCCATTATTGCCTGACTCATCCATGAGAGAGATAGAGAGAGAGATATATTATATTTCTGATGAATAATATGTAGACGATTTTTTTAAAACACTCTGGTTTCCTATATATATATAGAATATGATACGGGAATTTGAATATAGTTCAACTGGTTAAGGCATCAATATTCATACGGCCGTGTGAAGGTTCGTATTCACACGGCCTCTTAAATCTGCGTAATTAAAACGTGCCCAAAGTTAGAATAATGTGAACACACGAATTTGTCAACGATTCAAGACATTTACTTTTCTCTTAGAGTCGGAGGCTACAAATAATAATATATTAGCCTATACAGCAACTTTCTGTCTTTTGTGTTCAAATGTATTTTACTTCCACGTGGAAACAGACCACCCAACTTATGGGTTAGGTTTAAATCGTACCAATGATTCTTTGCATGAAAATATGGAAGCTTTTTTTTTCCATTTTTTGGCTGGAAATGGAAAATTCATCTAACATTGTTTTTAAATATATATATATCTATGAATATCTCAATAGTTAAAAMTTTTATAACGAAATAATATATTCATTGATATTTCTACGATTAAAAGTTTGACATCAATATTAGAGATTAATTGATAATTTTCTATATAATTTTAAGATATTGAGCAAAATATAATATAATTTTACGACTTTAACATCTTCTCTATGTCACTAGATCTAGAGACATTATTTTGCTCCAATTAGTATTCATAACATGTTGTTTTCGTTATTTGTTCTTTTTTATCTTAATTATAAAGTTTTTTTTTTCCATTTCCACGCTTTACTATCCACCTAACTAAACACATCTTTGAAATTATAGGAAAATGTTTAAGAATTAAAAAAAAATTTAAATAGTCTTTTTGCTTTTAAATTTTGGTTAAGAATTTAAAATTGCTTCTAAATAGATTAGAAAAAAAATTAAATGAAGCTATGAGTTCACCAAAAAACCAACCTAATCCTTGAAAAACCAAATACAAAAATAATTTTCAACATTTTAATGTTGGGCTGCGAAGATAATTTCACAATATAATTGATGGTGTGTAATTAATAAAGTAGTGACCAAAAGTCGTAAGGAAGTCATTTGTAGATAAAAGTCTAAAAATAAAATCATGCATATTTAAGTTTAAGATCGACGTATAATATCATATTATTATAGGTGCGTAATATTAAACGGTGATCAAATTAAATATAAATGACATTAAATGTAATATTATTTTTTTAATATCGATCCCTATCCCCCTGCCATAAGTTTTGTAGGCATGGAGATGTGAGACATGTATAGATATTTTGTATTCATAAAATCATTTTCATTTTATTGACTCATCAACTAATTTGAATGAATAAAAATAAATAGTTAAATTAAAAGTTTGGTGCTGGAAGTTTTACTTCTGTATTTTAAAAAGTTTCTGATAAGCATTAAAACTTAATAGTTTGTTTCTATTTAATTTCTATGAAAATATTTTATATAAATATTTGAAGAACTCGTTATACTCTAGTGCTTACATCTCTAAATCTCTAAACTTGTCGAAAATTAGCCAACCCATGTATAAGCATTAAATCGTAAGGGAAAAAAACCTATTAAGCACAAATTTATAATTTAGGTTTAAATATTATTTTGATCCATGTATTTCAAAACGTACTTTTTTATATTTTGTACTTTTAACAAGTTATCATTTTGATCTCTCATTTTCATTTTCATATCATTTTTTTCCAGTATAATTTTAGCATGACACTTCATTTAATTTCTTGAGATGTAGCCATAAATAATTTGTATTAAACAATTTTCATTGTTTATAAAATTTTTGTTAAAATTTTACAAATAAAGATTAAATTGGTCACTTTTTAAAATTAAATGACCAAAACATAGTAAAAACTAAAGAAACAAAAGTTAAAAGTATCTGTATCAAAATAAACATTTTAAAAGTATATGGAGACCAAAATGAACCAAAGTCAAAGTACAATAACTTATAATTTAATAAATAAAAATATTAGTTAGAGGCGAGTAAATGAACAGGGAAAATTCGTGTTCGTAGTGTGAGTAAAGAAGTCGTAGCGATTTCAAGTTGTACTATCGGAGTATTAGAAATTTTTTCGAACCGACCATGTCGGTTCGGGGTGTCATGTGCTAGCCCCCACAGTAGCTTGCTGGAAATATAATGAATGCAGGCAGAGACAGATAGTTGGCTTAAATTTCTCCCATTTCACATTTCCGAAAGGCCATACCAAGAAATTTAAGACTGTTCTTTCAAACTATGAACTAAAAAGGCAACCAAAAATTTCTCTTTCTTATATTTATTGCTTTGACCTTTCTATCAGAAGCCATCTCTCCCTTTATAGAATCAAATTTATGTCTAACTTTAAATATACATTTGCCATATTAATGAAAAAATTTATGTCACTTTCCTTTTATGAAGTTTGCTTTGTGGCGATTTATTTTTGTAAGAAAGGAATTGGGTTCATAAACTTTCACGGATATATGACTATTTTGTCGATGAACTTTGAAAAGTTTTAGTTATGTCAATTATGATTTTGTGTATTTCTTGTCGTGGAACATGAGGTAAAGAGTGTATGTTGCAAGTTCCACTTTATTTTGTTAAATTGACCTTATGTTTTTATCTCATGTCATGTGGCTTACGCTAGTTGATCCTTATAACCAAGACTCGTTATGTAGCTGACACTATAACCAACTGTAAAATTTTATGAAAATGAAATGTTAAAAGATATAAATATCAATTGAAAATATTTACTGGGTTAAATAAAATAATTAATGGGCATCCTAAAGTTGTTACAAGTTGGCATTAATTGGGGGGGAAATTAGAGGAAGATATTAGGTGAACAATTTAGTGGTCCTCTAAAATATTTCATGAGCTCATCACGACCATAAAGTGTAGATTTTTGAACAAAAACACCATAATTTATGAGGGAGAAATGGGTGAAAAAAATAGAAATTGGGTGTCGTAATAATCTTTCTAAAACATGTGTCACACTCTGCAAGAAAGATTATTGATGAAGTTTTCTTTGCTTTGCACAACTTTGAACAATCCTTTCTACTTTCTTCTACATTTTCAAGTACCACTCCCACCTAATGGTTTAAACTAAACAAATTGCTTTAGAAGCTTGAATTTTAAAGTCCTTGAAAACTTTTTTTGGCTTTGAATTTTGTCGGATTAATGTTGCTAAAAATTGTTGAGAAAGAGAACGTAAACCCACTTTGATTAGAAGTGAAGAAGATTTTTAGTAAGTAATGATAGCACGTTGGGTAGACCCTAAAAGTAAAATTATATGAGATTAGGCTTAAAATGGACAATATTATAGATTCATACAATTGTGGAACTATGGAATAGCCTATTTCTCTTAGCAAGCAATATCAAAATCATTATGTCTACGCAGCCTCTCGGCCTTCTCTATACGTTTTCTAGATAGAGTACAAAAACACAGACCATGAAAGCTTAAACTCAAAGTAAACAATATCATATTATTATTGAGAAAATAAAAAATTTTATTAAAAAATATATATGCTTTTTTGTAAGAATAGAAAGAAGGGAAAGAAGGCAAAACATGCCCAAATTTTGTAAGAATGTTAGGTTTGTGTGTTTATGGGCAATATGAAGTAAAGTAATCATCGATATCTTTGTTCATACTTCATAGTTCATACTTCATAAGCCAACAGACATGAATATAGTATGTCTTAGCTTCCAAGACATTGAGATCACAAGTTCTAAAATTTCTCTTAAATAATCCATAGAAATGAAAGAAAATAAAAGAAAGGCCTAGGTTTATTCATGTGCAGAAACAGAAATGACAAAGTGAAGTGACCCAAATGGGTATAAAAAGTATTATAGGTTAGGTGTCAATATCTATCTAAGCTTTTGAGAAGTGTTGTTCCCTTTCTCACTTCTTGGGAATATTACTAAGAAGAAAAAAAGATTTAAACCAACAACCCAAACACAGATATTCTAACCAATTGATGTTCAGTAGTTACTATCTTACACCTATAATATAAATATTTGTATTGATGCACACCATATCATGGGCTGGTAGGATTTATAAGAATGAGGGATACAAACGACAAAAGAAGTTACCAAAAAGTAATGAAGAAAGTAGAGACGTTTGACAGAAATAAAACAAATAAACAAAGCAAAAACTTTCCTTGTTATGAATGGCAGTAGTGATGCAAGAGTAGAAGCAACCTATCATAGAACTATTTTTTTCATGAAAAATCTCAGACGAAACCAGACTTGTATTAACAATAGAAGATTTCAAATTTTCCAGTACCTCAATAATTTCGATGACTTCCAATGATAATAGAGTGCAATGTCCTCCCACCCTCTATTTTGATGTCAACCCATCAAAATCATGATAGTGCTGCCAATAATTTTCCTTCCTCCTTAGCCCTGTTCCTGCTTAAATACACATTATGGAAACTGAAAAGTACAGGTTAATAAAAGTAGGCAACAAGCAGGAGAATGGCATTGCAACTCAGCTCAAAGCTTTAATTAGCTGATTAAAGATTCAAAAGCAGTTTCAGAAGCACGGTTGATATAGATAGAAGTTCTAATCTGAACGTACAAGCATCCAAGATCTACATTTAACACAATATCATACAAATATGTGTAGCTAAATCTGTATCATTTGCGGAGACCTTGGCCATCTAAACATAGTAGGTCCCCTGGCTGAACCGATGTCGTACTGATATCTTTGGACTTGGGAATCTACGTCACACTCACATGGTGATAAAAGTGGCTCAGTTATCTAAACAGACACTATGTTTTAACATTGTACAAATGTAGAAAAAAGAAGGTTAAATGAAAAAAGAATTTCTCACTTCTTGCCACCATCCTAAGAATCAACTCTTGAACCACAACTATTACTTCAGACATGTGGTAGTGAGAAAGAATGTCCAAGAAGCAGAAGATTAACGAAGATGGAAAGCTTCTGTCATGCATATATGTATAGGGGACTGGCAGGCTAGATCAAGAATGAACGTTAAGAACACGACTTGGTGTGATACATACGTAGCTTAATCAATGTCAGTTGCAGAATTTAGTTTCAAATGTGATGTGATCTGTTGGGGTCAACAAGAACAGTCAGCCTTTCGCTTCTGATGCTAGGTTAACTTGATCTGTTACTGGCTGGCCCAGATCACCCTGATCTACTGGTGGAGAAAAACTTGTTTGATCCATTACCATCTTGGAGGAATCCTTTGGATGAGTCACTGTCGGGGGGTCAGATTCCATTTTATCTGCTGCTTGCTGTGGAGCAGACTGCTCATTATCTAATTCCAGATGGCATGATGTCGACGGAAGGGAAGCTTTTGGCTCAACATTATTTTCAGCATTTTCATACTCGGAGAGGAGATCCATGAACTCATTGAGCAGCCGCTGGACTTTTCTATTTGATGCCATGGCAGGAAGTATGTCTTCTCTTAGAAGTTTATGTTTTCTCATTCCCTGTATAAATATAAAATTGTGAGCAACGTAAACTGTTTAGAGCCAAGAAACCTCATCAAAAAAACCCTTAAGACGTTGTATAGATATATGACCTTAATTCAAAACCCAAAAGATATTGAGTGTGTCAACTCTTCACATTGATGATTGAGATTTAAACATAAAAAAGTTAACATGTGCCAAGAGAGTTGATCACAACCAGTCAACGCAAAAGAATTATCACTATTCCTCTCTCGTGACTTGTCCATCCAATCAAAATAATTTCAAAAAAATATATAATGAAGAAAAGGACACAAGAATTGAACACGGGGAGGGACTACATCAACGATTTCACAAAAGCAAAATTAATATACACAAGTTAGAGAACTTCAATGCAAACAACAAATTGGGGGATGCGAGTATCAGTTTGAGTGAGATGAAATTTGTCGGGATGGGTAACGAAGCCTTACAAGCACACAAGGATCCCAGGCTTGATTCTTTATATCTGCTGGTGCATCTCCAGCCATCCCAGTCGGTGGTCCAAGTAAACTCTCGCAAACTTCACGTAGCCGAGATTCATCTGCTTCTCTGTGATCATTTTTCAAAATACCAATTATAGGCATGAAACTGAAAAGCTACAAGATTTGCTGAATGAAAAATAAATAACATCATCTATCCATACAAACCATAAAGTATAGCTACTCATAAATCCCACCTAAGAGGAAAAAGAGGGACGGGCCTAATACCCCTCCCAAATCAAGAGACATCATGTAACTATTCTTATACCCGAGAATTTTGAACTCTAGAACAGAAAAAAGTGTTGAACCCATGTATCAACCACTATCACAGATCTGCCTATTGTATCCACATCTCTTGTCATTAATTTAAGACTGTTCCTAAAACTACATGCAATAAAGCACCGAGGAACATTTGCAATCAAATGATATGAACCACATGAATATGTGCTAAATCAAATCAAAGATGTTATGCTGAATGAGAATCACCTTGCCAGAAACCGTATGTATGATAGAAGCCACTGGCGATACTCATTGGGTGACTTCAATGCTAGTGCCGATGCCATCTGAGTTTCTAGGTGAGCACGTGTCTGCATTCCATCATCGGTCACCCTAGAATGAAAAGACTGAATTCATAAAATTGACTTCAAAATTATGTAAATAAGTACAAGATCTAGAAACTACTTAGGAACCTCAAGAATAATAAGAAATTGAAAACTCCGTCTTCCGTCCAAATTTATCATGTGTCATTAAGAACCAAACATGTTGGGATCAATATCATGATTATGGAAACGAATTGTCTCTGTTCCAGAAAAAGTGAAATTCCGCCAGAACCCAAAATCTTGAAGCTGTAGAACTCTATGATGAAAATTAAGTACAGACCTGCTCCAACCTGGCTTTCTAGCCAAATATTTCCTGATATCAACCTGAAGTGCAGCAAGCTCTCCGCTCTGAATTGAACCCAAGTTCCAAGAGCTGGAAAAATTAGAGGCAGGGAAACAGTCGTCTGCCACTCTCAGCCAACACGTAAGGCTTGTATCAAAGAGAAAAGCATGGCGAGTGGCCAAAACAACTAGAGGAGATCCAGATTTTGACAGCTTGGCAGATATAACTTTAATTGTGCCTGAAATAGTGGAAGTTTCAGCCATCCAATAAAATGAGAAAGGAAAAGACAAAAATAAATAGAAAGAAACTTTGATATAAGCCTGCCGCTAGGAAATAATAACATTCCTAGATCTAAATAATTCAAAGGTTGAATGTTACCAGAATCTTTAGTAGATGAGTTAGGGTTCAAAGGAATTAGCGATGCCAACGAGTCATGAAGGAGACAAGTACGGTTGAACAGGTCCCACACATACAAGGAACCCTTCCTTGTCACCAGCAACAATTTCCAGCAATCATCACAATCGATAAATGTAGCAGCAGATCCCATCATCATAGCTGGCATAGCACGTCTACCACACTTGGTATAAACCTACACAAGGATTAAAACATGTAACCAAATTTTAAGATTACTTAAAGGGATAGGGTTTGTTTCTTTCTTTTTTTAAGGAGAGACCAAGCTTCCACCGGGAGAAATAAAATAAAAAACCAGCCCAACAAAAGAACCACCTAGAGAAAGGTGATGGATAAATAAGTTTTATTTGTTATCTTAAGCTTAAGTAGCCATCGGCTTTAAAATGATGTTAAGAAATAACTAACAGCAAATTACTTGAAGGTAAATAGCCATTGGCTTTAATAGGTTGTTATGATTTAACCGTGGCCTTTAGGAACTAGTTAAAGCCTTGGTTAATCTCCCAACACCCCCCTCCCCCAAAAAAAAATAACCCTGCTCTAAACACAATTGAGGATAATAAAATACTTCTTATTTTGAGTTACACCATCATGAGTTTCACAAACACAGAGCACTAGCAAATTTAAGATGCC